AATTCTTCCTGCTACACCCCGTGGCCCTAACTGGCTGTTTTGCATCACATTATTAAGATTTGTACCAAGGAGGGAGCGAAGTGGAGGGGGTAGGGATAGGAGAAGGAAAACTTGCTGTGATTCCAGTAACATGTCGTGTCCGTGGCTGGATATCTCCTGCCAAATGCTTTGCAATTTTAGCTTTATTTCTCTCCAGGGACAATTGAGGGCTTTTTAAGATGATGATTTCCTAGTGACCATGGGACTTCCGTGAGGCCACTCAGCAGGGCTTCCAAAACCCTTGAGAACGTGGGGGGCGGGGAGGGGAGGTACGGTACCACAACTGGGAAGTGATACAGGAGCGTGAGGAGAAAGGGATAGAGCTGGTGACAGAGTCCCTGAGCAGGGGCTTGTGGGAAACGGAGCCAGGGACTCAGAGCTCCAGTCTCTCTGAGGGCTGAACCTGGGCAGGAAGCAAAACCGGTCACTTATTTCAACCGGTGTGTTTGCACAGGTGGGGACACACAGGGAGAGCCAGGCTCAGGGGGTCTTCGTAGAGAAAGGCTCTGCACAGAAGGCGTTTCTGAACTGCCTGACTTTAGAGATTAACCCAAGCCTGTTGGCTGAGACAGGAGCTGCTGCTTCTGATCAAGGGAAGTGGGGGGCAGGCGGTAGGGGGAGTGGGCAGCGGGAGACAGCTGTTGTTGGGCCTTGCAGATAGAAGACACGGAGAGATCTGGTCCAGAGAGAGGCAAGCTTTCAGCCAGCGGAGTGCTCCACCCCGTCCTTAATGCAGAGCTAAAACTCAGGCTCTCAGACTCTCAGGCTGCAAGGAGCAAATGCCAGAAGTGTGGCAAGAGGTCAGCCCCCCACTCTCCCTCCTTGCTATGGTACAAAACCCAGGATATCCCTCCCTCCTGTCTTAGGAAGCAAAGGGGAAGACACAGGGAAGCCCTGAGCTCTGGGGATCAAAGGGAAAGCACAGGACACAGAACACTGTGCTGTGTGAAGAGCTGGCTCCTTCTGATTTACGGCGCATCCTCCCCGGCCTCCCTGAGGAGAGCCCGCTGCCTGTCGGACTGGTGGATGGATGTCAAATGCTAGCAGTACGTGACCAGGAACAGCAACAGGGATACAAAGGACAGCCAGTGAGAGACACGCATGCTGATCACAGAGGAATTTAAAGAGCTTAGGGAAGGACACAGTTATCAGATCTTGGTCCAGATGCTTTAGAAGGGGCAGTTTCAAGAGAAAACCAAGGAGCCTACCTCTGTCTAGAACTTAGTGAGGGCAAGACCCCAGCACTGTGCTGGGGGCAAGTGAGGCAGAAAAACCAGAATGCCCACCGCCCTTGGGTCGTGCCAGTGGCAGTGTCTACAGGCAAACTCCCAGGACCCTTCCCCACACAGGACCCAGGCCGATTCAGGTGCAGCATGAAAGGAGGCCCAGTCAGAGAGGCATTCCAACATGCTGCGTACTTAGGGCCCCTAGGTCCCAAGGAGGGCCTGCTGGGCAGCCGCTGACCTGGCACCTTGAACTGGGGAAAGTAAAAAGGTGTAGGCGGCAGACATTCCTGTCCCACGGGTGGGCCAGAGAACAGGGGGCCCACAGTGTGGGGAGGGAGCTGCAGCAATTGAGGTCCTTACGGGGACCCTCCTCCTCAGCCCTGGTGAACCAGCTGCTACCCACAGCCTGCCCAACATGGACTCACACCTTCGAGTAGCCATTTACTCCCCCACCCAGCCAGGTGTCCTGATTCATGCCAAGTGGGTACGCAGACATGGATTTCACGTGTGGACCTGACTCTCTAAATAAATGTTAGGATGTACCAAGGCGCTGGCTCTGTTCATTTGTATATAGGCTCACGAAATGACACGAACATCCTATACACAAGAGGTAGGGCTTTACCTGGACTTTTCAGGGGGTAAAAAGGCATTTATCTGAAGCCTTGATAGGCATGACAAGAGGCGGCCCTTTATAAACCCTAAAGTAGAGGTGAAGATGGCCAGCTTTAGGATCAGGGGACTTAACCAGAACAACCACCAGCCACTTCACACCTGCTCTGTGAAAGCCTGGAGCCAACAGGCACCTTGGGGTGGGGAAGTGATGGCTGATCGGCACAGAGAGGGAAATAAGGCATCATTCCCTGTCCTCAGAGACCTTGGCAGGGAGAAGGTCAGGCAGGACCTGTATCCTCAAAGCCCAGGGAAGCATCGTTTCAGAGCACACAGGCCAGAGGTGTTGAAAGAAGAAAGAGGTCCCATCTGGGGCAGAGAGATTAGGAAAGCTTCATTCTGGGTAGGTCTGGAAGGTGGGGGAATGACTGACAAAGTCCAGTGTGCCTATTTATTTTCCGACCTTGTTTCAAGGTCGAATCACAAGCCTGAGATTCTATTTCATCTGCCAAGTCGGGATTGATGTCTCCTTCCCACTTTCAGTTCCTTGGAAAAGCAGGTCTTGGTAAAAGCCATGTACTATTATTACCCTCAGGAAGAATGCCAAGAACAGAGTTCTGAGATGTCCCGCCCCAGATCTGAGCCCAGCTTGAGCATGCAGAGGATGAGCTCTCCGGCCAGTGCAGTCCCAGCCAATCCCCAGAGCTCTGGTGGGAAAGTGTTTCATTGGATGACACTGGCTTTGAGTGGGCCCAGAGGACATTTGGTCATATGACAACCGTCAGATCAGCTGGCTGCAGAGCCCTACACCTGGCATAAACAGGGACAAGGCAAGGGGGTATCCAGATAAGCAACAAAATTAGGTTAGAGGTGGGGGTGCTCTCTTCCAGTCCTAATTTTCTGTCAAGGCCCAGCCCCAGTCTGACCTTCCAAGCCTCCTCGTTGCCATCCATACCTGGACCGACCATGGCTTTGCGTTGCTTCACCAGACTGCCTATGTTCCAGTTATCGCTGGTTTCCCATATAGCTGGCGGCCCTCTGTACAGCGCCCACCCATAGCATATCACACACAGCAAATGCCCAGCAAATGTTGCTTGGTTAAAGATTACACGCTCTCCCCTTTCTCTTCATCAGGCAACCAGAGGACCTTTCTGAAATCATGTGAGAAAAGTGCTTTGAAGCTCTAGGTGAGATATTTTGGAACGCGACAGTAGCCCCTACCCAGGTAGCAGGAACAGATTTCCTGAGAGCCCATGAGAACTGGGCCCTCAGGCAGCATCCTGACATCTCGGGAGCCTAGAGGCAATTTTGTTGTTTCTCCCCGCCCCCCCCCCCCACTGCAATCCCAGCTCAGCCTTCCTCACCCGGCACTCAGCCCGTTCTGCCATCTTTACCTGTCCCCCTGATCCAGCAGAATGGCCTGAAGGCAGAGATGACAGCCCTCTAGGATGTGGCCCTTTACCCTGGGACATGTTTAGAAGGAGAATATAAAAGGCACACACAAGACATCCTGACTGTGTTTGGAAACATTCTGTGATGGAAATCTAAAACCTCAAACTGAAAGAAAATCTCACCTGTAACCACAGAGAGATTCAGTCTGATTCAGTGGCTTGGAAACTGGTATCCAAAAACACCCTGGCTCATGGGCCAGGAAACTTCTACCCTCCCACAGGCTGTGGGGCCTTTGATTGTCTCTTTCAGACCCACTCTGGGGGTGGAGGGTATATAAAACCAACCGGGAAAGGATATTCCCCCTCACTTCCCTCATCTCCTCAGGCCACATGAATACTTATTTCCAACCAACAAAAGGGGCTTGACCAGACGGACACAAAACAAAAGGGCCTTCTTGAACTTCCCAGTGTGTCTGAAGGGAAGGGACTCTACTGTCACCTACCAAGTTTCCTTACCCAAACTTAGCTTTCATCTGAGTTCTTCGATCAACAACCCCGCCCCCACCCCCCATCACATGTCCCCAGCTTTCTATCTGTTTCTTCCTTTACAAAACAAATGACCCGGAATGGTTCTACAGAATGACTAGCCAGAGCAAGTCCAGATTCTAACCAAGACCAGCTCCAGGAGACACATCTCCATATATGATATGTCAGAAGAGCAAGGCTTTGGAGTTTGGGTCTACTGAGTCTGAGCCTGTTTCTTCATCTGCTAAACAGAGCAAGAATTCCCACCTCAGAGCTATGGCCAAGAGTAAACGAGTAACATTTGTGGCGCACTGCTCATAGCAGACATTGTTAACATTTGCTGAACGGCCCATCACACACACCTCATTCATCTGCCCCGTACCAATGTTCCCAGCTCCAAGGCCTTCCCTTAAAACCAGACTCCTTCCTCTCCCCACATGTAAAAACCTAGGAACTCTCCTTGGACATATGGAAACAGTCCACTGTCCCAGAAGTATGTGAAGATGCTGTGTAGCCAGCCAGGGACAGCGGGCCAAGTGCAGGCGAGGAAAAGCACTGTGTTAAGAATCTGAAGGTGTTACTTAGGCCATGTTCTGAGTCCTTATGTATTTTGGATCCATCACACGGGATGATCTCTCATCTAGATGCCAGCAATCACATCCCTGAGATGGCTTGCCTTTGGGGAAAATGCTCCTCAATGCTAAGTACTTTGAACATTAACTCTGTTAGCATCAGTGGGTCACCCATCAACCTGAGGAAGAAAGCAGCATTTGACACTTATTCCTCCATAAGATCCCCTTCATGGTGATGTTTCTACTGTCCAAGGCATGACTGGGAAGGGAAGTTCTGGTCTGAACCGACTGCACAAATCATGTCTCTCCTTTGCTGCTGTGAATGGGAGGGTCCACAGCAGCCAACATGACTAACCAATGACATCAGTTCATGCTCCCTGAACCTTACTGTGTCCCAGGCACTATGAATGCCTTCTCCACACCAAATCATGAAGTTGAATCTTTACCACGATTCTCCGCAGTATGGACTATTGCCCCATTTTACGGATGGAGAAACTGAGGCTTACTGGCATTAGGGGACTTTCCCAAGGTCACACAGTGGTTTCAAGTGGCACTGGGATACCGAACCAAGTCTTCTCCAGCCCCAGCAAAAGTCATCAGGCTCTGGAGAGCCAGCATGAACCCAGTACTGCACTCACCTGATAGGAAAGGCCATCCTTTCGGGGGTTGAGGCCAATCTCCTCCATCGATGGGGTGTTCATCATCACCTCAGTCATCTTGGCAGATCTCAGATAGTCAGGGCTGCCAAGAAACCCAGACCAAAAGTAAACAAAGGCACGTGTGTTCATGTTCCCATCCTTGGTGCATTCTGCTGTTAGATCAGGGGACTGTCTGGAGGCAGGATGAGAGGTGTTCAAAACAGACCTCACAGAAAAACAAGCTCACACCCTGAGGAAGTGCCATATAAGCCCGGGGCAGCACAGCTCTCAGTCTCAATCAACAAAGCCCCAAAACTGCCTGGAAACCTATCTGGCAAACCTCTCTTCCCTCCTCCCCTGTACGGGTCCCCACTGGCACAGAGCAACTCTGTATTTTCTTTTAAGTGACAGAACAGAAAAAAACATACCAGTAGGTATCTGAGTCCATCTGTCTCTATTAAAACCAATTCAACCCCGTGTCTAGGGGAACTGCATACTATTATTACATAATGATAACAGGTCAACCTCAAGGAAACCAAGTCCAATAATGCTGCCTTCCTAAATTTTGCGTGCGCTCTCTCTCTGTTGTTCCTTTTTGCAAAATGTCCCACTTAAAGCCCCAAGGGGTCAGCTTTCTACAAGCATCACATCTGCCATCCAACCCCCTTCTCTAGCCCAGCCACAGCAGCTGCAAGCTCACAGCTTGAAAAACATCCCCTGGATTAAAAGCCTTAAGGATGCCCGGACTCTGATTGCAAAGGAAATTTCCAGAGGGGCCAAGCTGGCCCACCAATGGCTGACATGTGAAAGTGCTTTGTACTCTGTAAGCAGGATACAAATGTTCCATTATCCTCACACAAGCTCCGGGCACACACAGGGTCCCCAATGCACAGTGCCAAATAGTACATACCAAAGTCAGTGTACTCCCTACACAACACCCAATATTTTCACCATCATGTCTTTACACATAGTTAGGAAAAAAAGAAAGAAAGAAAGAAAGAAAGAAAGAAAGAAAGAAAGAAAGAAAGAAAGAAAGAAAGAAAGAAAGAAAGAAAGAAAGAAAGAAAGAAAGAAAGAAAGAAAGAAAGAAAGAAAGAAAGAAAGAAAGAAAGAAAGAAAGAAAGAAAGAAAGAAAGAAAGAAAACAGGCAAGGCTTTAGACCGACTGCATCTAAGGAAACCGGGGTTTCCTTAGATTCTTCATTTTATGATTACTACATAGAGTAGAAAAAGCACTGGATTTGTGAACAGAAGCCGGAGGTCTGGTCCAAGCTCTGTCACTCAAGACCTGTGTGATCTTGAACTAGTAACATAACCTCTCTGAGCCACAGGTGCTCTGTTTCTTACCATGATGCTAATAACGCATATCCCACAGTTATGCTAAATGGCTAATCTCTGGGGGCAGAAAACCATTGCAAACTATGAAGTGCTAACCCACTATAAAATAATTCCCAATTCTTTTATTTCCCTTCATTTCTCAGGGGATAATAACCCTGATGGGCCCTAACACCCACCTTGGCAAGTTTTGAGTGGTCAGGGACACAAAGCCTCCAACTGCCTTCGAAGTCTCAGCCCCAAAGCACCTGGCTGCTCACACACCACGGTGGTGGGAGGGAAGGGGTGCCCAAACAGAGAGGGGTACGCAAGCCTTACGGGTGGGGGAATTTTTATTTTGTTTGGAGAGTTCATTTCTCTAAACAGAGCCAGGGTAGGGGAGGAGACAGAAGATGCTGGGCTTCCGGGCAAGGGTTAGGGTCAGGAGCGGGGACTCCAAAGGCAGATTCATCCGGGGTGGTGGAAAGGCTGGCGCTGACCCCCAAAGAAACGGGCCACAAGAGCGCCCACCAGGCTCCTCGCCTGGTGTAGGGGCGCTCGCTCCTCGCTCCGGGCTGTGGCGCGGACCCGAAAAGTTGAAGCAAGAAGCATGAACTTTCCGGTTTCTGGGCTGAGCAGGACCGCGCGGAGAGGGAGCCGGTGGAGCCGGCCTGGGGCGCCCGCACCTGAAGGCGCGCTCCGGCGCCGCCAGTGCTCGACCCCTGGCCGCTCCTCCTCTTCCCCAAGGCAGAAAGGAAGCGGTGGCCGGCGCGGCCGGGGGCCTCGCTCAGCAACCAGCGCGGCGCCCGCGGCGCAGCCCTCCCGGCCCAGATCCCCGGTCCGTGCGAACCTCCTCCGCCCTCCACCCGGCCCGGGATTCTTCCAGCCGGTAGGGCGAGGGCGGCTCCCCAAGCTCCAGTCCGGATCCCCACAAAGGCGCATCGGGTTTTGCGTACGGGTCATGGGGAGGAATGAGATCGAGAGGGTGCAGCGTGTACTTATACTGCTGCTTGTGGCTTTAATCGGGTTCCGGGTGGGGAGAGCATTTTTCCCCAGCCCTCGAAGCTCTGCAAAAGCCGCCGCGCTGCACCAGCTCGGCCCCGCGGCCGCCGGCCTCGACGCCGAGACAAGCATGCAAACAAAAAGAAAAAGGGGAGGGGCCCGGAGAGAGCTGGAGCCCCCTGCGCCAGCCCCGGCGCGTGCCTCCTGCAGCCCTCCGCATTGGGGTTTTATTAGCGGGGTTCAAGCTTGAGTCCTGGTTTCCCTACCCCCACCCCACCACCAGCACATACACACCCTCGCAGCCGTCACTTAAGTGACGGCTTCGAGTTCACTCCCTTTGTCTGGATGCTCTTGTCACCACCTCCCCCCACCCCCACCTTTGCAACCTTGACGTTGACTCCTGCACGGGTTGGGCGGCGGGCGAGTGCGGGCGCCCGCACCGCCTGCTGCCCTCGCAACTGAGCCCGCAGGAGCAGGCGCCCGGGCCCCGCAGCCATGGCCGCGAGACGGATGCCCGCCGAGGGCGCAGGATACTCACCAGTGAATGGGGAAATATACAGACATGAAGTCCTAGGGGAGGCTGACCCACGCCCTTGTGACTTAAAAACGGCCACCGCGTCCCGAGTAAGGATGTCAGGGGCGCAGACAGGCGCGGACGGCGGCCGAGTGCAAGCACTAGGCGTTCGCGGGTCCGCCTTCCGGAGACAGCCCCGCTGCCAGCGGTGTCCGCAGAGCACACGGAGCTCCCGGTTCTCCACCGAGCTCGCGGCCCCACAAAGAGCCCGGGAAGCCGTATTTATAGGGGCGGGGGGCGGGGCTCGGCCCCGGGAGGCCCCGCCCCCTCGCACCCACTCCTGGAATAACGTCACCAAAATCATGAATGGCTTCAGTGCTCGCAGCTCCCGCGGGCGGCGGCTCGGGGGCGCGCTCGGGCTCCGCTCCCCGAAGGCGGTGGTTTGCTTCCAGCCGGCCTCCCTCCCCACGACTCACACACGCAGACCCGCGCGTGGGAACGCGCGCGCGCACACACACGCACGCACCAGGGTAGGAGTTCAATGTCAATGCCGCTTCGCGCCGACAAACCCCCCGGCGTCCGCGCCTCCCTGCGCGCCCCACTCCCTGCACGATCCCCTGGGCGCTCCGGGCGGAAGACTATGGGCTAGAAGAGAGCGCTGGACCGGACACGGCCGCGCTGCGCGGTAGGAGGGCGCCATCCTTCGACCCTGGATGCCTGGCTCCAGCGCCCTCCTTTGCACCCTCTCTTAGTCCCCATAACTCGGGATTCCTCTTCAGCGTTCAGCCCCCAAACTAGGCCTCTCCCGTGACACCTCGTTCCCTGTGCGTCCCTTCCATCTCTGGCAAGCTGCGTGGAAATGAGAGCACCGCTGAAAAAGAGGCGGTGGGAAGGTGGGAGGGGACGCGAGGCTGAGGAGACTAGTTAGCTTGCGAGGGGCTGATTTGCAGCCTGCAGATCCGTGGAGGGTTTTATTTGTGTGAGAAAGGATGTGGTGTCGTTGTAGGGTTTTTCCACTGGACACCTACACACACCGTGGCGCGGGGCATAGGGTGCAGGTGGGCACCGCTCAAGCCCACCGCACCATCCTTGGCTCCCGGATCTCCTGCAAGGAGAAGAAACAAAGGGCTTCAGCCAAACCCCTCCCACACTGCGCAGGAATTATAACTCCAGGGGTCAGTCCAGGTGGTGAGGCTTCGCTGCCCCCACAGGCAGGATAGGAGTCTGCCCCTCTGTGGCTGGAGCGCGTCGCTTCACACCTCTGCTTCAAACACTCCTGTAAATTGGCTTTGTAACCCTGATCTATATGTGTACAGGGGATTGGGGAAGTGTGTGTATGCAAGAGAGGAAGAGGGAGCTATCAAACATTTGGCAAAATTGAACGTGCTTTTGAAGTTAGTCAGCTCTTTGAAAAGTAGTGAATGTTAGGGGCGCCTGGGTGGCTTAGTCGGTTAAGCGTCCGACTTTCGCTTAGGTCATGATCTCATGGTTCGTGGGTTCGAGCCCCGCGTCGGGCTCTGTGCTGACTGCCAGCTCAGAGCCTGGAGCCTGTTTCAGTCTGTGACTCCCTCTCTCTCTGACCCTCCCCTGCTCTCGCTGTCTCTCTCTCTCCTAGAAATAAATAAAACATTTTAAAAAATACCATTATATAAAAAAAGTAGTGAATGTATGAAATCCATAGATATGCGCTTAAAAGTGGAAATACATAAGCTCATCTAAGGTAAAGGATGATAGGATTAGTGGTGAGAGTTTAACAGTGGCAGGGCCATGAGCAAGCCCTCATAATTTTCATCAGCCCTCCCCAGCTAACCCAAATAAAAATAACCTGAGAATTAAATAAAAATAACTTTGCTATTTTTCATCATTCATATATACAACCTAAGGCATACATACAGTGTACTTCCCATGAAAACACAGCTTCAAGCCCCTCCCCCCAAGCAGTTCCTGTCAACCAGAGAAATTCAGGAGCTTCTCCCCAGCCCCACTCCACCCCTTAAGATAACTCAGAAATTGATTTATGCTGCCAAGTACCACCTTCCAGATGCTCCTCTCCAGGTAGTGTCCTGATGGAGGTTGATGCTTCTATGGACAGGTGCTAAGGGGCGGTGCTCCAGTATGGGGTTACTGCTTACAGAGGGGGGTGTTTGTACCTTTTGCATAAGGTGGAGAAGCTTCTCAAAGGCTGGGTGTGACATATTGTCATCTACGCAGCATGACATTGGAGAAGCCAATGCTTGGAGAGCTGTTTTCCAGGCTGGACTTGATAAGGCCTGAGGGAAGCCCTGGGAGAGCAGAACTGATCCCCTCTGCCATTTCTCCTCAGAAGCAATCCCTGGCAAGACCTGGGATGAAAGATTGACTCACCACTTTCACATACCAACAGTCCCGAGTTACCTGTTTGTGATTATTGCTTGTGAACTTTTCTTTACTCAGAAAGCTACCCCCGACCCCCTGCAACATGCACATTCCCTTAGAGTGTCAAAATGGCCTCATTTTGAAGAGATTGGGGAGTAAGGCCTGTGACAGCAGGTGTCTGGCCTCCTGCAAATTTCCTACATTGGAGAACCTTGAGGTAACTGACTACCTGATCCCTGCTCTTGAGGAAATTTTGTATTAATGCCATTTTTACTAAAATTTACCTCTTGTCAGTAAGTTGGAGTGGAAAGCAAGCCTTGGGTTAGAACCCCAAATCTACACTTTCTGTTTCCCCACTGGAACCACGGTGATGCATTAACTCACATGAAAATATGGGAGGCAGGGGCTCAACTTCGGTCTAACAACTATGCCGTTTCTCGATCATAATACTTTATGTAGTGCCTTGCAGTTTTTCAAAGCATTTTCATGATCTCAGCTTTCAGAAGAATAAGATTACCACAGCACAACATATAGTCGCTAGCTTACAGTGTACAAACGGAGACTGGAATAAATTAGGGCACTTGCCAAAGATCACACAGCTATTCTTCTACGTTGCTCTGGATCATCTCTGTAAAAACACAAGATATTTGAACACGCTTCCCAATATCCTATGAGATTGAATGTCTTCCTACTGTCCTTACTGCCTTCGAATAAATAAACAGAAACACCAGTGAATGAAGCTAACATAGAGCCACAGAACCTTAGAGTTAAGAGACCTTCCAAATCACCGAGCTCAGTCTCCTCATTTTACAGATGAGAAGACATCTAAGAGATTAAATGGCATGTTCAAGGTCACCAGGCTATTAAATGGTGTAGACGGAACCTGAACGCAGGCCTGCAGACCACTGGGCCGTTGTTTTTTCCACTACCACCCTGTGAGTTGCACTGCCTCTGCCAAGAAGTCAGCAGCAGAAGTGAAACGCAGGACCTAAACTCTCCAAACCACATCAGCCTACCACTGACATTTACTGAGCTTCTGTTATGTGCAGCCCAGTGAATTACACAGCCCTTTGCTCTCCCTCCTTCTTCCACCTTTGTCTGCAGGAACTTAAGGGTCCCCTTGCAATTCTTCTTCAATAAAAATCCAAGTGTAATCACAACTGCCTTGCTTTCCAACGTCACATACATCCAGTTTCCCAGCTCCTCCTCTCTCACACCTAAAATAGGAATCACTTTATATCTTATTAGAGTTCCCTCTGGCACCACCGAGCCAGGTATGCAGGCCACGTAGCTAATTATTCATTAAATTAAAAAGTCTCCATCTGAATTCATTTAGCAATCTATTTTCATGCTTTATCTCCCCTCTGCCTTGCAAAAAGACCGTATTGTATGTAATTTGCCTAGCAGTGGTGCCTCTGTTTAGCCGTAAGGGACTTCATGAAGCAGCTGTTTGCTAAGGTACACTCATATCTGCTAGCACAATTTGTGCCTTGCAATGACTTTAAGACATAGGCACTATTGTCCCATTTGTCAGATGAAGGAAGAGAGGCTCTGAGAGATTAAGCAGGCCATGGCCACACAGCTCTCAAATGGCTGAACCAAAATTTGACTCTGGGCCTTATTGATTCTAGAGCCTATGTTTTCCCCAGAATACTATACTTATCCTGGCCCTTGTGGCTTCATTTATTTGTTTTAACAGAAAAACTACAAACTGAATATAAAAATGTTGGTTCCAATAGCAAAGACCAGAACAACTGGAGTCCATCCAGTGGGGGTAAGGCTGGCGGAATAAATACATTTCCCACGCTGAGAATCTGGGAGCTTCTTAAAGATATCAGTCAAAGGCTTAGGGTTAAAAAAAAAAAAAAACTGAGTAGGAGAAGGGGAGTTTCTAGCCAATTTTTTTCAGTGAAACTCATTTGAGTATGTAAGAAATCTGAAAGGCAAGAATGTGTGTGGGTTGATGTGAGGATGAAATGAGATAGTGTTATGAAAACACTCGGTAAGCTGGAAAGCACTGAGCAGACACAGGGCTTGTTTTTAAGGTGTTTGGGGGGAAAGATGGGGTTCAGCAGAGTTGATTGCATCTGCTTTGGTTTTTCACTCAGTTCAATCATGGACCGCCCCCTTTTCCCCTGGAGTCCCTTGAGTGAAGTTTCCAGCTCCGGGTGGGACAGACAGTAGAGGCAAGTAGTTAAGCTCTGGCCAATGGGTACTGTGGTGGCTCTAGTGGCCCCACGTGCCCCCTCACCCTCTGTGAGTTCCTCCAGTCCTCAGTGCTTCGCAGCAAATGTCCAGCTGGGTTCTGGATGCACCAGGGGACCAGTCCATGCACAAACAACCCAAGCCCATCAGACAAAATCCTCTAGCCTTTGACTCAGTTTGCCATACGTTCTCAGGCACGTTGCCTGATTGCTCTGTTAGGATTCCCAGACTCCTAAAGTAATAAAGTGGGCAACAGGAATCTTTTTAGCTCTCAGGACACTAATAAGACTAAGAGAAATTGTTCCTATAAATGCTCAAGGGGAAAGGGCTTTGCATCCTATTATCAGGGCTCTGGGGCCCGACGTAAAGCGTGTGGGTACTCTTGCACTGAGCCTTCTTAGGAGTGGCCTCCTTTCCACCCAGAACCCTCTCACCGCCCCCCCCCCCCCCCCCCCCCCCCCCCCCCCCCCCCCCCCCCCCCCCCGCTCCCCAAAGAAGCCTGGGATCTGCCAGCCCACAAGCTCTTGCCTTCCCACATATCAAAGAGATTTGGCCCTGGCTTTTTCTTTATTTTTATCAAGGGGCCTTTGAACCAAGGGGATTTTTAGAGAAAGAAAACTCTATGGAATCTTTAGGGTCCAGACTCTTGAAAGAAAACACTAAAACTGGAACCAGTTCAAGGCACTCGTGTCCAATTAAGGAAATGCTCACATTCCTATCCTAGCTCTGGCTCTAGCATGCTTTCTCTCTTTCCACATCTACACTGGAATGCACTTTAACAGCCAGAAAAGAGGTTCCTCTCACCAGGACATGTATCATATAGCACAGGGCTCCTTGGGGTGGGCTCCAGCAGGCTGCTACCTTCCCTGAATTAGACAAAGAGCACAGACCACAGAACAATCCAAACTCCCATCATACCCCTCCGTCTGCCCCTCCCCCCAGCTCCCCCTCTGTCACCCACAGCTCCGGACCAGAGAGACTCTGGCATACCTGTGGGTTAGGAAAACACAATAGTTTCTCGTGAAGAAAAGGACTTTCAGTTTTCTTTTCAAGTCTACAGGATGTCGCCCTGCTTCCTCCAGGGGCCAGCGACGTCCCTCCAGGCTTCACACCCGCCACTCCTCTGTGGAGGAGCCAGCAGTGAATTATGCACCAGGGAGCAGCTCCTTCAGACCGCCTTTGCGGAGGGTAACCCGAGCTCACCCCAGCTCGCTGGAGCTCCAGGTGTGCTTCACACCCACATGGTGCCCAGCCTCAGGATCAGATAGCTGGGTCCATATTACACTTCCCTGCCCTTTCAGCAGCAATTCAACCAGGTCTGAGGTACCTACTATGTGCCAGCTGGTGGCTGGCTCTCCTAAATCCATCAGCTCTCAAAGCCATCCAAATAAACACACTCTAAGTGATACCAGTGTGCCTGGCCAGGCCAACACAGCTTTAGGACAAATTCCCTAAATTGCTTTAGTAATCCCTTACACAATCGCAAGGCTGAGAAAAAACGGCACACATGCATGTAAGTTTTGCATATGAGTTTGCATATAAGCCCCCTCGCCTTTGCCTATCTTATCAGATTTATTCCCCTTGAGTTCCTTATGTAATATAAAGAAATCAAGGGCCACCTCTGGTGCTTGGCATGGGCTCCTTCACTGGGGAGACTGGGAGGACCCCCTCTAAGACCATAAGATAACCACTGCAGTTCAAGTGACCATGCTGGGGGGTGTGACTCCTCTCGTCTTGGGAAGAGGGGTGCTGACCACCAGAATATGAGCTCTATAAGGGTAAGGACTGAGTCTGTTACTTTAACTGCTGGACTTCATCACCTGGAAGAGTGCTTTGCACATAGTAGGTACTTAAGACATGTCTGTTGAATGAATGGTATCAGGAAAAGGTAAAGAGAAAGGATGCCATTGAACTGGCCTCAAAGGATGGGGAGAAGCCAGAGACGGGCAATCCTATCTACAAGAATAGCAAAAGCAAACGCCCACGGGTGAAAACGTGCCAGATGTGTGCCAGGAGCTAGGAGTGAGCAGAAGAATCTTAATCTTGGGAGGGGGCACTGGAGCGCCCCCCCCCCCACCACTCCAAGTGTGCAGGCTGAATGGAAAACCTGCTGGCTAGCTAAGGTCCTTGCACTCTGCAGAATGGACTGTGCACAGAATTCCTAGCAGGAAAATGTTTGTCACTGCTATTGGCTAAGCCCATCCAGTTTCCCTCAGCTCTACATTGAGTTAATATCAGCATTTCTTTTCCAGTTAGGTGGCAGAAGTGTTAAGTAGGTCAAACTGAGTTTATGTGAACCATGTCTTCTGAGACTTCCCCTTTCCACTCCCTCTCGTTTCGCACCTCTCTCTGACCTGCTCCGGGCGCCCACTGATCTCCAGAAACCCATGCTCCCTTTATAACAGCCTTGCAAGCTCCAAAACCTGTGCTTTTCTTTCCCACGCAAGTATCTGTCTTTCAACTCCCTAATCCCAGGCAGCTGCAAAGCAAGCACACTTGACCTGACCCATAAATTCACATTCTGGTGAGAGAGACATGGTTGCAATGCCTCCAGGGCCTCCGTTGAACAATGGCATTTTGGGCAGGGTAAATGGGTGAGAGGAAAGAGCTCTGTGGTCACAGAGACTGGTGATGGTTGATGGCAGAAGTCTGAAGGGGAAACCATGCCATGATAAGACAAAGCAAGAAGTGAACCACTCAGAGGGCTGGGGTGGGTGCAGCCAGTGAGCTTTCCTTCCAGAGGCATCTGACTGGAATCCTTGCCCCCAGCTGTAGTCTGGCAACAGCACTCTAGTGGCTTAAACCCAGTGGTCAATGTGAGGGGGAAAAGGGTCTCCGCAGATTCTTTTCCTCTTCCCTTTTTACTTAGAAGCTTCAGACAGATGGGGACTCCTCTGAGTAGGCCCCAGGCACCCAGTACACCTGTCCAGGGCCAGCCCAGACCATGCAGCCCAGGTGTACGCTAGGAGAGAAGTCCTGCACTGGCCTGAGCAAAGCCGATGACATGCCGTGACAGTGAGAAAGGCCATATGCCTTTTCACATGCTTAATGAGGCCCTCAGGGCAGCAGAGGCTCGCACATAGGGCTTCTAAGCCTCCTGAGCAGATGGGCTGGTACAATATGGGTTCAGGCAGGAGCATCGTCAGCCCCCACCCCGAAGCTTGCACCACTGCAGCAAACTAGCCTTGCACTCCCCACCTGCTCTCTGTCTATCTCGTTCCTTTTCATCCAGGCCTTCTCTTGGGAAACAAAAATGAGAAGGATGGGAGGAGATTCTCCCAAGACTGTTTTCTATCTAGATGTCTGCTGGAATGCCCCTAATGTTACTATTGAAAACGGCTGGAGCACAATGTGTGCTGCAGCCTCTCTGGAGGTTGGGGGGAGTGGCGATCCTTGCTCCTCGCCACCTGCCCTCTTGAATTGCAGAGTGCTTGGAGAGTGCGCCAGTGGGAGCTTTGCCTCACTAGTCCAGTTCCACCCTAGAGCATCCCCTACACACCTATGAGGGTCATTCTCCTTTTATCGCCTTCATCTGCAGGACCCTCACCTTCCACAATGCTTAGTGATTCCTCAAATTAAAAAGAAGAACCTGTAAAGACTCATGAATGACTCCAGATCATGATGTGTCTGACATTCTCAACAAGAGAATGAACGAGTCTTGTCACTTGGCCTCAGTCTAGTCTTTGTAAAGTAGGCCTGACATTCCCTGCCCTCAGCTCGCTGCACAGGAAGGAGGTACTAGTGAGAAGTGCTCAGCTTCCTTGGTGGAAAGGTGTGATCGTAAATGATCCTCCATTGGATCTGGTTGTAAATGAAGAGTACAAAGAAGGGAAAATGAAACTCACATTGGTTACTTGATTTTGTTGCTCATTCACAGGAGAACAAGAGCAGCGAGCCTCTCTGGGTTTCTGAGAAAGTGAGGCCAAACCAGTTCTCTTAGAAGAGAGGGATGCCAAGTCTAATGGTTGATATCCCATCTCTCCCTCTTTCCAGCATTTTCTTGGAGTCTTTGCCCTGGCTCTCGTACTTGCTGACACCCTGATTAGAAGCACACAGGTGTGTGAGCCCCTATGGCAGTACAGGGAGGCTATACTAGCCCTCGCCAGCAGGTATACGGTCTCCCACACGCACAGCCTGCCCGTCTACACGTGAGGATGTGGGCATTTTAAAGCCATTTGTATTACAGACTGTTTCTCAATACCCTGATGTCAAGTGCCAGCGAATCACCCGGCTCCCCTTTTGTTGACGGGACTTCACACGTCCACACAAGCACATGCACTTGTGTGCCAGCGACACCTCAGCAGCTGACGAGAGCTCTGTCTTCTGCGTCCGAGGTAGGGAAATCATGCTGACCTGAATCCAAACAGAAACAGAGACGTCTCATCCACCTTGTTTTGCCAGCTTTGTTTGTGTGTGGGTATTTGTTACAAACAGCAACGAACGCTTCCCAGTGACTTCGGGGGAAACAGGTGTGAGGGACTGGTAGGATTCCAACAGACCTAACACTCTCTTCCTCCTACAGAGCAACGCCGCCCGCCAGAGAGCAGAGGAGGCCTCACAGTGATAGGAGCCCGCATGGGGGTAAGCCGGAGAGGGGGGCTATAGGGGGCTGCTGCAATGGCCCCAGGGGAGGTGGCGCTCACGGAAGGGGCAGTGATGGCAGAGGCAAGGCAAAGGGGGAGGCTTCAGTGCTTGTTTGGATGTGGGAGCAAAAGAGAAAGGGAGTTGGAGAAGACTGGGGTTTCTTGAACTTGAGCCATTGCAAAACTGGCAGCACCTGCTGAAAAAGCCAAGTGCAGAAGGGGCTGGTCTGGGGAGAAGGGAGTCTGGCCTTTTACGTGTGTGGGGGCGGTCCCACATGATGACCAGCCCTGAGCTGTAGCTACAGCTACACATGCTCCCACACCATCCACACTGGTTGTTTCTGTCACTCTTGGGTCCATGGCAGCCTAGGTCGGGTGCCTGGCCAGTTTGGGGGCTGTGGGTGCTTGGACGCTGTTGCAGATGGGTTCTTCAGAGGCAGATGTGGAGACAGGGTTTAGGACCAACACCCAGGAAAGGCAGGGGAAGAAACAGGCCTGGACCCAGAAGGAAGTTTAACAGAGATGTGGACTCCACAGATCTTGGCCAATCCTACGGGGAGCTTTGGAGCAAATATCACCTGTCAGAATGTCCTGCATTGGGACATAGCTCCAGTGCCTTCTTTCCCCTGCCTGGCTCCGTCCGCAGTGTGGGCTGCTCTGGGGAAGGATCCTGAGAGAAGTGGATGTCTTTGGCTGGTACCAACCTCAAAGGAGCTGACAGCTGGAGGCCGTCTGCTGGCCCCTCTCATCACAGTTGGGCCCTGGGCCCTCCTCTGACCGGGGACCCGGGTGGCACATTTCTATTTCTACCACAGAGCCCAAAGCTTGCAACTCCACTTTACAGCCTCACTTGGGTTTACCACGCACTGCAGAGGCCTGCAGCTCTCGAATCCTCAGGGAGGCACAGATGAAATGCTAGTCCATCTGCATTTTGCAGGCGACAGAACTAAGGCCCAGAGAGAGGAGGTGTCTTGCCTCAGCCGCGACAGTCAGTGAGTGGTGAACTCAGAACCAGCACTTGGTCTGGGCCTCTGGCTCCTTGGCCTGTGCTTGTCCTCAGAAAGGAGGCTCCTCTGTGTCCAGCAGCTCGTGGTGAGGAGACTGCTGCTTCCAGCCTGGGGATGGGGCTGTGGTGACCCTCAACTCTCCCATCAATGTCTGCAGGCTTGCTGGGAGCCTGAGGGGCTCAATCCCCGAAGCACTGAGTGAAGGCAACACCGGACCTGGAGAAAAGACTGACTTTTAGATTCCCAGAGGGGAAGGGCCCAGGGGGCCTTAGAAGTCAGCCCTTCAGGTTTTTATGGTAGAATTAAGCCAGCTGAGCAGGAGCAGTTCTGGACTCTTCCATAGTTGCTCCTTGTGGACCAGGCACTGTCGTGTCATTAGCCTGCACTGGGGTGTTCTAGGAAACACCCCCACAAAACAACCGGTGGAGTTTCCCACAGAGCTTGTGCTGAGGTCACACTTCATGGCATTCCGCTGTGTCTTCCAATTCTCCCCCCAGGGACCCCCAGGACCAGGAACGGATGTACCTCTCTGAAGATCCTGCTTCTTTTTTGTATGTGGTGGATGCAGTGGGTTCTGTGTGTGCTTTTCTTTGCATTTTCACTCTTTTGGTTACGGAGTCAGAGCTTGATGTGAAGAAGCATTAGTCCAAGTTTATGGGACCTCACGGTATTTGAGGATGTATTAGCTACATTAGGTTTTATCCCCTTTTACCTCTATTTATCCCCATAGTCTCTCTTATTTTTTTTTTTAACTTTGCTCTATTTTCCGTGGTGTCTGAAAACGCCCTCAAATGCTCTCTTGAATGATGTAATATGTAAACAACAATAGTATAGCTGACTTCTTTGGAGGCTTCCAATGCATCTTCTGAGTATTTTCTTCTATGTAACAACTTCCCAGGATGGAGTTGTGATCGATCTCCAAGACAGCCTGAACTTAGCCTTCCCACCCTGCAGTGCAAATCATGGTCATGTCTCCAAACTGCTGTGAATCAGGTTCAACTGCTAGTGGTGTCCTGGGGGAGTCCGACCTGTTGAGTGGCCACCAAAACTAAAGTCTTCCAATGGTCTGCAGGGGAGTCTCTCATTGTCCCCGCTTTGCTATGTGAAGTGCCTGGCCAGGACCGGCCAGTGGGGCCGCATTGCTCCTTAAGATCTGGACATGATGCAAGCTCATACCTGGAGGCCGTCTGGGTTTTGCAAGCACGCATCACAGTTCTTCGAGATATTTAAATATCTCCAGGTCAGTCAGTCAGTCAGTCAGTCAGTCAGTCCATCTATAGTTGCCTCCACTTTGGTGGTCCCACAGGCTGGGGCATTTTTTCCTCTCACGATCCTGAATGGTCCTAGGAGGCAAAGAGGCATTCTTTCCAAGCTGACACCTCAAAGCAGCTCCTCCAGGTATTAAGAATCTCAAACGGCATGTCGTAGGGGTAAACACATGAGCACCAGAGGGATTTAAAATAAGGCTTGTCCACCTTTCTGACTTGCTGTCTCCGTTGAGGCCAGGACTTACCAGGCCAGATATTAATTCCAGGGTTCCTGAGCTCCTGTTCTTGGCCTTCACAATTCTGTACAAAAGGAATTACTCATTCTCGGGTATCAAGAGGGCAAATCACCACAGGCAGAATCACCCAGCCTGACTACAGGGTGTTTATTATCCTTTGTCTTTGGGTTATTTCAGATCACTGGGAAGGGGAGGGAAGGTAGTAATGAAATCGCTTGGAAATGACACGTATATAACACAAATTAACCTTCTTAGCCTCTATTTCCTCGCCTGTCAAGGAGGGGCAGGGGGAATAACATCTCCCTCGCAGAGCTGGCATAAAGGGGAAAGAGCTAGATGCCAGGAACCACCTGGCCCAGCACCTGTCACAGAGTCAAGACAGAGCTCCTTAAATGGTAACTATTTCACCTGTGTAACATGCACACAGTCATCTGAACCCTAAGACTCTGTGAGCTCTCAGTGCGGCCTTGTAGACCCGCCCAGCCGCTTGTTGGAAACGTGATTCCTCAGCCCTGCCCCAACCTGCTGAATCAGAAGCTGCCATTTAACAAGGTCCCCAGGTGACCATATGCACATTACAGTTTGAGAAGCATCGAGTTAAGAGATGTCAATTTTACTGTTGAATCCGGCGGATTTGATGGCATTTCTCTTGGCGACCAGCAGAGAGTCAGTAATGAGCCCGTCAATCAAAGGCGGGCAATATTTACCTAACGCAGCCCTCTCCCTCCCCGGCCAGTCTGACTCTGCAGGGGCTCTGGCCAGCCTGCTGCTCACTGTGCTCACCTCCCTCCTGCGGTCACCTGCACGGTGGCCAAGGCTCTGGGGAGATGAGGGCTCCTCGTATTCTGGGCAAAGCGCAGATAAGGTTTCTCACAGCCCCACCTGAGCGCCTGTGCCAAGGTAAACTTGCTCTCCAGAACGGCTCCCTGACTGGAAAATGTGTCAGTCTATTTATTTCTCACTCCCACTGGAAAAAAGGTTGGGGGGGTGGGTACAGGGAGTGGTTGGCCATGATATCATTCTTTCCACGGAACTTCTCAAAGGCATTGCATTTCATGGTGACTTCCAGGCCGCTTGTGTTTCGCTGCATAGTACGGAACAGAACTGGCCGGGAGCATGAGTTTCTCTTCCTTCTCCACAGCACTCTGCCCCCTCCTCCCCACCTCTTTCTGGGGTTTTTACTCCCTGTGGGCTTCGCAGGCAGCCCTCAAAAGGAACCTGAAAGCCAAGATGTGGGTGAGAAAGTTTTTCTAGCATTTCTTGCTGAGGTGACCTGTATCTGAGGACCTGTATCTGAGGCTGGTTTGTGGGGATACAGGACAGGTGCTTGCTTGAAGGGGCAGGAGAGGTATCTACCTGGGGGCAAGCCTACTCCCTTCAGAAACATCAGAGAACTGGGAATCAAGAGCAAAACAATTTTACCAAAAGCCATGCAAAGAGTCAGTACCAGGGGCTCCTGGGTGGCTCAGTCGGTTAAGAGTCCGACTTCGGCTCAGGTCATGATCTTGCGGTTTGTGAGTTCGAGCCCTGCATCGGGCTCTGTGCTGGCAGCTCAGGGCCTGGAGCCTGCAGCAGATTCTGCATCTCCCTCTCTGTCTGCCCCTCCCCTGCTCTCTCTCTCTCTCTCTCTCAAAAATAAATAAACATTAAAAGATTAAAAAAAAGAAAGAGCCAGCACCAGTTGGGGGTCACTGCATTCATCACCATTCTTGTTTACACTTCTCTGGAGAAGAGCAAAGATTGTCTCACTGGGTTTCTGGTTCCTACTAGCTGCTGGGAGATGCTGTAGGCTAGCACCCACCTGGAGGGAACCTGGACTCAGGCTGGGAGGGTGAGCCCATTACCCGTCCCCCTTATCAATGTCTCCTGTAGGTCCACATTTCTTCCAGAAGGAGTCTGGAAAGTAAGAGAGGGGCCTTGCACAGACCAGTAAACATAGTGTCCTATGGGCTGAGAACTATGATTAATCCAGTCCAATTTGAGAACTTTAAACTTTTTATTTGTAATTTTTCAACATGTAGATAAAATCAGAGACCAATACAGTGAACCCCTGGGGACAAACTTCCTGGCTATATCAGGACAGACTTGGTTATGCTGTCCTAACAAACATCCCCAGGTCTCAGTGGCTGAGAGCAAGAAAGGTTCATTTCATACTCATCCACCTGTCCTCCATGGGTTGCCTGAGGATATCTTGTCTACTCAGGGACTGGGGAAGAGAGAAGCTTTGACAACGTGCTGGCGCTGTCATGCTGGCCAAAACTTTTGTGCACTGGCTCCTGAGGTCAAAAACATAAGTCACTTCCACTCCAGCTGATTGGCCAAAGTAACCTCAGAGTGGATGGGAATTGCAACCCTACCACAGGCCTGGAAGGCAGAGAGCCAGAAATATTTGGTGGGCAGAGCTAATGATGGCCACATCAGCTTTCACAAATATTACCATATTGCCTTATTCGCTTCAGGTTTTTCTACTTCAAAAACAGCAAATATTAGAGATACAATGGAGTTCTCCTCTGGACTCCTTCCCAGCCCATCCACTCCCTCATTTACCAGAGCTAAGCACTGTTTTGTTTTTTAAGTTTATTTTGAGAGAGAATGAGAGAGAGTTTGTGTAAGTAGGGGAGGGATAAAGAAAGAAAGAGAGAGAGAGAGAGAAAATCCTAAAGTGGGGCTCGATCTCAAGACCATGCAATCATGACCTGAGCTGAAATCAAGAGTAAGATTCCCAAATGATTAAGCCACCCAGGTGCCCCTAAGCACTGTTTTGAATTCAGTGTTAATTATCCTCATGTGTGTTTTTATGTTTTTACCCTTTTTATTGCATTTTTATGTTTCCATAAACATTATAAAGTATTATTATGCCCTGCCAGCTTTTAAACTATATATGTGTGTACATACATATCATCATCTTCTGCAGTGTTCATTTCCTCCTTAGCATTCCAATTGTGAGGTTTTTTTCTATGCCAACACATGCTGGACTATATTGTATTGGATAACTGTAATATGATTTGGTTTCCCATTATCTTGTTGATGGGCATTTAGGTTGTTTCCATGCTATAGCAAACATCTTAATACCTGTCGCTTTGTGTTCACATATAGGACTAGATGCTTAGGAGCAGAATTTCTGGACATGACCACCTACAACTTTACTGGTTATTGCCAAATTACTCTCCAAAGTACTTGCACCAACTTACAATGCCACTAGCAGGGAATGAGTTTCTGTGATTTAATAGCTCTGCCAACACTTGGCATAGGCCGACATACATTTTCACTGATCTGGTAGGTGTAAATGGTATTTTATCGTTGTTTTGATTTGTATTTCTTTGCTTAATAGTGGAAGCAAGAATCTTTTTGTATTTCTATTGACCTTCTGGGGTTCCTCTTCTACAAATCAATAGTTTATATTCTTTTCCCATTTCTTCCCAAGGTTATATATCTTTTTCTAATTAATTTGAGAGGTTTCTTCATATGTTACACTCATTGTAAGTACCATCTCCCAAGCTATGGCTTGTTTTTCACTTTGTTATAGTGGCCTTCTGTTATGCAGAAGTTAATTTTAATGTAGTCAAAATTATCAAATTTTTATGTTTTCTATTTTTTGAAGAGAAATTGTTCCTTATCTTAGGGTCATAAAGAATTTTTCTAGGAGCACCTGGGTGGCTCAGTCAGTTAAGCGTCCGACTTCAGCTCAGGTCATTATCTCACAGTTTGTGGGTTCGAGCCCCATGTCGGGCTCTGTGCTGACAGCTAGCTCAGAGTCTGGAGGCTGTTTCAGATTCTGTATCTCCCTCTCTTTCTGACCCTCCCCTGCTCACGCTGTGTGTGTCTCTCTCTCAGAAATGAATAAAACATTAAAAAAAATTTTTTTTAACATTTATTTATTTTTGAGAGACAAAGAGAGACAGACCATGAGCAGGGCAGAGAGAGAGGGACACACAGAATTGGAAGCAGGCTCCAGCACAGAGCCCGACATGGGGCTCGAACCCACGAACTGTGAGATCTGACCCGAGCCGAAGTCGGCCACTTAACCAACTGAGCCACCCAGGTGCCCCAAAACATTTTTTTAAAAAAGAATTTTTCTATATTTTCATCTTATACTTTAAAATTTTGCTTTTTGTTTTTAGTTCTATAATCTACATAGGGTTGATTTAAGGGAGAAATCTAAGTTTGTATTTTCCATATGGACAAAAGTTCCTGGGATTCATTTATTAAACACACTACCCTTTCCACATGGATTTGTAACACCATCTCTAACTGGTATTGTTTCCAAATACGGGTGGGCCAGCGGCTAGGCTTTCTGTTCTGTTCCATTGGTTTGTCCTTTTGTCCCAATTCTGTTGTCTTCATTACGAAATAGTTTGATACTAAATCTTGATACCTGGTAGGGCAAGTTGTTCCACGTTCTACTTTTTCAGAATCGCTTCTCAGTTATTCTTGGCCCTTTTGCTCTCCTAGGTCCGTTTAAGAAATCAATTTCTTCCAAATCAGATTGTATAGTTCCAAACAAAACAAAACAAAACAAAACACCCTGTTAGACTTCAAATAAAATTCTACTGATGAATTTGACAACTTTATGATTTTGAGTGTTCCTATTCATCTTCTTCTGTATGGCACCCACTTACGATTTCACAGCCCTTGATAAGACCCTCATTTCCTCCTCCGCTCCCCCCTCCAACCCTTGTGAGTTTGACTCAAACATTGCTTACTTTCTGTTTCTTACTGTAGCTTCAGTATCTTTATTTCTAGTACTCACTTCTTTCAAAGGTTTCCTAATTCTTCCTTCAGTGTGTAACAGGTAAACCCCAGACACATTATAATGATAAGGGAGTAAAGGAGAGGGTTCTCATAGTCTCCTGGGAGGAGATATGACAGCATAATTACATATGAGGGGGTGCACAATAATCTTTTCTGAGCTTTATGAGGTAGCATGGGTAGTAGTTAAGAGGCCAGATTGCTAAGTTTGAATCCCAGCTCTATCATTTACTGACTCTCATCTTGGGCAAAGTACTTAGTATCTCTGTGCCTTACTTCTCCTTTCTGTAATGTAGGAGTAAAAATATTAATTATCTCATAATATTATTATGAGAAATAAACAAGCTAGCATATTTAAAGGACTTGGGAGAGTGCCTGGTATATTGTGTGTGATCAATTATCATTACTAAGATAGGCTTTCCAAAGCACATTGGAATATGGCTAGTTTGAATTTTCAAACCAGACAATGTAAGAGTAACTCACTAAGCATAACACTGAGCAAAGAAATTGTTGGTTAGCACTGTATCTTCTTAGTAAGCAGAAGGGTACCATCCACATAATTGAAGGTTTAATCATTAGTGATCCTCAGTGGTGCTAGTTTAGTGTTAACTATGTTGTAAATTTCACAGAATCAATGAGTTCAGACTTGGATGGTACCCAAGATAATCCAATCTGATTTCCCACCCATGCTTAAAGCCTCTTAAAATAAAGCTATACAAAAGGAAGACTGTAATGAAAGACGATCAGAAAGGCACAAATATTGAAAGGACATCAAACTTATTTAAAAAATAAAAAGACGGTAGGAAATCACATGACTCGATAAAATTTCAAAGGTTAGTGGGAGAGGCCCTTAAGAGAAGCCAAAATGAGAAGGTGTTTCTAAGAGCTGATAGCCTAGATCTAGGATAGAAGATCTTACCCAGAAAATGTCTGTACATTTGGAAACCAAGGGAGTATTTGCCAAGATTCTACATTACTACATATGTGAGCTATTTGAGGGGTCTGAAATATATCCCTTGTTCTCTTGACCACCAGTCTACTAGGGGACCTGACATTTCCACCAATGGCGCTCTCTTTGGGTTAGGACTTTGGATGTCTATATAAATAACTCATGAGGAGTAAACGTAGATCATCTAGGAGACCCTCAGATTGAATTCCTCAGTGCAGGCCTAGATGAGAGCAGGGTCACAAGATGTAGATCTAGTGAAGGAAGTTCTGCTGGGAAGAGGGGAATGGAAATGCTAGTATAGGGCCCCCTTACAAGCAGCAGAGCCAGACTGGGGACTCAATGAGACCAGAGGATGGAAGGATGAGGGGTGGGGAATGGGGTGGAGACATACAGCAGAACATTGGGGCTGAGTATGTAGGAGGGGAGAGTGAAGGGCAGGGATAATCATCAGCCTGGAGTTGCTGCTCCAGCTGGATGGAAGCTGGCTCTGACTCCCAGAAGTTTCTTCTCAATGATCTGGAAAGCCACAGACCTGTGAGGAGTCTTGACCCTCTCTAAGGAAGCAAGGTCTCCACATTACTATGAAGAATCCACCTTCAGAACTCAGACCTGAGGGCTAGAAGCTCTTATGTGCATTGTGATATGTCCCTGATGATAGCAGCACCTTGTTATGTGCAGCTCTTCACACTTAGAAAGCACTTAAATGTCTCTTTTGCTGCTCTTGATACCCTTACAAACTGGACAAGGCAGTGCCATTATCCTCATATTATAGAAAAGGAAACTGAGAGTCAAAAAGCAGAACAGCTTGCCATAGGTTCCCACAGCTGGACAGGAAAAAGTCAGATCAGCTTCACCTCAGGATCCCCACTACTGTCAGAGTAGAGCTTGAGGCCAGAATTGGTTGAGATATGGCAGTCATTATATCTGAGTGTGACCGGGTTAGGCTGGCTGGCCCAGGTGCTCATTCCTACAGGGAGGGGTCTGCTAAAGGGGCTGCCACCCTGATAGGTGCATGAAGCTTGGTTGCTGCCCTGACACCATAGTGCCTCCTGCTCCAGCCCTATGGTCTCTTATACTCCTCCATTCTCTTAACTTCATTCATTCATTCATTCATTCATTCAACACACAGTGGGCACTGATACACTAGGAATACAAATGGAAAATCAGGTCCTATCACTGCCTTTCACAGTGTGGTGGTGCAAGGCAGTACCTAAACAGACAAGGGCAACAAAATGTGGACTGTCTTTTCAGAGAGGGAGTATAATGTAGTGATTAGGATCATGGACTTTGGAGCCAGCATGGGAAAATATGCTATGGAGAGAGGATATATTTAAAGATATCATGACCAAGAATTTCTTAGACATAGTGAAAATAGATAACTTCAGATTGAAAGGACACAGTGTTAAACAAGATAGATAGAAAAGGAACTCACAGCTAGATATATTGTAGTGAAATTTAAGAACATTAATGATGGAGAGAAAATTTTCAAAACATCTAGAAAGAGAAAATAGATCAACTAAAAAAGAAAAAGAATGACATGAGCCCTCAGTAACAGAACTGGACACAAGACAATGAAGTAATATTTTAAAGTGTTGATGGAAAAAGAATTCAAACTAGAATTTTATATCCAGCTAAAATACCATTTAAACATAAGTAAAAAAAAATAATGTCAGGTATATAAAGCTTCAGGTAGCTTATCTCCAAACCTCTTTTTGAAACATTCTTGGAGCTAATTTTTTAGTGCAGAAAGGAAGCTAGAAAAAACATTCCAGAATAATCCTGAAGAAGAAGGAGGAGGAGAAAGAAGAAGAGGAGAAGGAAGAGGAGGAGGAGGAAGAAAAGAAGAAGGAAGAGGAGGAGGAGGAGGAGAAGAAGAAGGAAGAGGAGGAAGGAAGGAAGGAAGGAAGGAAGGAAGGAAGGAAGGAAGGAAGGAAGGAAGGAAGGAAGGAAGGAAGGAAAGGAGAGAGGGAGGAAATAAAACATATACCTAAGGTCAAAACTCAGAGAAATAGAATGTAGCAACAATAAGACATTAAACAAGCTGGTGTTGTGAAAAGATTATAAAATATAGAAATACATGACAAAACCAATGGGGGAAAGAAAGAGAAGATATAAACCTGTAATAAATACTGAAAGAAACTACAAACACAGAAAAAAGTTTTAGACTAACAATATTAGGAAGACTTCTAATTAGGAGACAATAAAACTGATATAATTTTGGCAAAATGTGAAATTCCAAAATTGGAGTAAGAATAAATAGCACACTGAGTTATAAGTACTCAATTAAGAATTACAATACAATCAAAGACCTCCCTCTTCCTGAAAAGCCCTAGGCTTAGATAATTTTACAGGAAAGTTCCACCTGTAAGGGGGAGAAAATCACATAAGAAATATACATTGTCCCAGAAACTAAGAATTGGTTTCTCCTTTGTTGTAAGACTGGTGTAAGCTTTATTACAAAGTCAGATAAGGATTGTAAAAACAAACAAAAAACTATCAGGCTATTCCATATTTGAATATAGATATGTAAGTTATAAATAAAATATTAGCTAACTGTATCTCACAATGTATTTATAGAGTTATGACCAAGCAAGGTTTATTCTAGACTATAAGAAACTTTAATGTGAAGAAGAAAAACTATTAAGGTAATTCTTACCATTAAAGAAAAATTTCATGCATTTCATGCATTTAAAGCATTTGATAAACACCTTTGGAATTTTAAAATGTGTATTTTCTCAACTTGATGAAGGCTATTTATTGACTAACTACAGCAAATATAGTACATGGAGAAAGTTTAGATGTGTCTCTTCTAGCTCAGTTACCTGCTATCCCTTCTGTGGATGAGCAAAGTACTAGAGGCTTGGCCAAATGATACAATCAGAACAACACATAAGAGCTATAGGAAGGAGAGAGAAATATGACCGACCACACTGAAAATTGACTATAGGGGTGCCTGGGTGGTTCAGTTAGTTAAGTGTCCCAACTCTTGATTTCGCTTCAGGTAGTGATCTCACTACCTGAGTTCGTGAGTTTGAGCCCCAGGTCGGGCTTGGTGCTGATGGCATGGAGCCTGCTTGAGATTCTCTTTCCCTCTCACTCTGCCCCTCTCCTGCTCATAAATGCTCTCTTTCTCTTTCGCTGTCAAAAATAAATAAATAAACTTAAAAAAAAAAAAACTACCATAGGACCCTGAAATCCCACTTCTGGGTATATACCTAAAATAAATGAAAACAGGATCTCAAAAAGAAATCTACACTCCCATGTTCACCGCAGTGTTATTCACCATAGCCAAAATTGGAAACAACCTAAACGTCCATCAACAGATAAAGAAGATGTGGTATATATATGTAGACACACCTCCCCCCTCCCACATGGGAATATTATTCAACCATGAGAAAGGATATCCTGCCATTTGTGACAACATGGATAGACCTTGAGCACATTATGCTAAGTAAAACAAGTCAGAGAGAGGACAAATACTGTATGATATCACTTATATGTGAAATCTAAAAAAAGCTGAACTCATGAAAATAGACTAGAATGGCATTTACTGGAGCCTGGAGGGTGGGGAAAAATGGGTAAATGTTGGTCAAAGAGTATAAACTTTCAGTTACAAGATGAGTAACTTCTAGGGGGTATAATGTACAGCATGGTGATTATAGTTAATAATACTGTATTATGCTTAAAAGTTGCTAAGAGAGGAAAACTTAAACGTTTTTGCCACAAAAAAAGAGATGGTAATTATGTGATGTGATGGAACTGTTAGCTAACCCTACGGTGGTAATCATTTTAAAATATATAAGTATATAAATCAACACCCCTGTACACCTTAAACTTATACAATGTTATTATGTCAATTATATCTCAATACATCTGGGGGGAAAAACCTGAGTGTGCATAAAAATCACCTGGAGATATTATGAAAACACATATCTAATTCAGTAGAACTAGATGTGCCTGATATTCTGCACTTCTAACATGCTTCCGGGGGGTGGCAATCCTGTTGTCTGGGGACCACACTGTGGGTAACAATACAGTAGATCTACACTGTCCACTAGGCAACCTCTAGCCACATGAGGCTATTTATATTTTCATTAAAATTAATTAAAACTAAAATTTAGCTCCTCAGCCACGTAAGTCACATTGCAACTGCTTGATAGCCACGTGTTACTAGTGGCTACCATATTGAACAGCACAAAAATATAGAACATTTCCATTATCATGGAATGTTGGACACCACTGCTCTTTCATTCAACTATTAGAATATGTAAAACTTGTACAGAAGATCAAGATCAAGGCAAGAGTATCAATGATTTACTGCCAGCCTTCCAAGGAGTTAACTTGGACCTTTAGGCGATGGTTGAGGACTGACCTAAAGTGACTGATTCTGAACATCACTGTCACTGCCTTGGATGCAGGAGTCAAAAGCATGTATATACAGTAAATAATACCAAATGAGCTGGGAAATACCTCCAAGCTGAGAATTCAAGTCCAGAGAATATAAGACAAATCATAAGGCAATAAGAATAAAACAAATGAAATAGGTACAAGTAGCAAGTTACATATTTTGGGATGGCAGGAGTGCGGAATGAGGAAAGCTTATCAATATAAGATGATAAATCACCAGGAATATAGCAGAGGAAGGACCAGAGGTTAGGGCCCATGAGTTCAAAACAGCAATACCAAAAGAGAAACACTTGTTAAAAGTATCACAAACACAGTGGTGGTCAGAAATGTATCTGGCTCAAGCCTCCAAATGAATGAATGAATGAATGAATGAACGAACGAATGAATGAACGAACAAATGAACTAGCCATTCAACCAATCAAATTGGAGGAAGTGCCAGTTTGGGGGCCAAGAAGCAGTCTGGAGGATTGGAATACAATGAAGATGAAATACAATGAAATTAAGCCAAACAAAAGAGGGTCTTTGCACAGCTTGATAATAGGTGATAAGTTGAGAATAATGGGCTTAGATTTCTATAGCAGAAATTTTTAAAAACAGTGAAAGATCAGATGGAGAGGGATGGAAGATCTCTGTTGGCGGTAACATTAGTGCAAGGTAGCGTCTTTAGGCCCGTAAGACCAGGTCCTGAGTTTGTTTTTTAACCATTTTATGACTTTGGGCAAATCAGTTAAGCGTGAGAAATATCTTCATCTTAAAAAATGGGGTGAGGGGGCGTGCCTGTGTGGCTCAGTCGATTAAGCAACCGACCTTGGCTCAGGTCTCACAGTTCGTGAGTTCGAGCCCCACATCTGGCTCTGTGCTGACAGCTCAGAGCCTGGAGCCTGCTCCGGATTCTGTGTCTCCCTCTCTCTCTGCCCCTCCTCTGCTCACGCTCTTTCTCTCTCAAAGATAAAATAAACATTTTTTTAAAATGGGGTTAAAGGTTGTTGGGTTGTTGGCCTGATGAATAAAATCATGAATGTGATCTGAGGTTGTACCCTCAGATCAGAAGTGAGCAGAAGTGTAAAGAGTTGTAAGCAGTCAGAGGGCTTCAGGGTATGTGGTCTCTCTCTGCTATTTCAGTTCTGAGCTATCCGGCCTGGAGGGGACTCTGCTCATGGTCCCTGGGGTGGAAGGAGCTGGGTCAATTCTTCCAGGCTGCTGCTTGGGGAGACTCAGGGTTTTTCTCTGGGGACATAGGACCCCAGGGGACTGACAACCCATTTATAGCACACCACACTGGGATGGAGTATCCTGAGGTCAGGGCAACCCCTGCCAGAGAATGGGGATGGGGGCATCCCCTTCTCCCTCTGTCTATAACCTCAAGGTCAGCCAGCGCCCCTCCCCCAGCCCTCCATCACCAGTGTCCACATGGCCACCTTGTCAGCAGGTCACGTGCCAGCGAGAGCTGATGTCAGGGTAGCAGCCTGTGAACTCAAGTGAACTAACCCGTGTGCAACCTGCAAGTGCACTTTATAGTTTGCAAAGTGCTGTTGCCCTGATTATTCCCCTTGTCCTTTGAGGCAGTTGTTATGATCTCCTTGTCATGGATGCGGAAGCAGGCACAGAGAGGAAAGATGACTTAAGCTAGAAAATGGCAGGCTGATGACCCTAGGTTTGGATTGTTTGTCTTCAAATCCTGTGTACATTCTAGAGTCTTGTGCCACTGCACGTCTCCTGGGGGCATCCTCCTCTCAGGTAGGAGGGCTCTTCTTCCCACGCCTCTAGCTCTCCAATGCATGCTGTCTGAGACGGGCCTTTCCCGAAGCCCACACTGGTGCATTCCTGCTCTTTCTTTGGGCGCCCTCTCAGCGAAAAGATCTGACTGTATGGACTCCCAGGCCCACCTGGGTTTTAAAGGATGTAAGCATGGAGGATGGCAGGCTTCTGCCGCCTCCTGGTAACTTGTGAGCATTGCTAACCCATTGCCAAATTCCACCAAATACCTTTTCTTCTTCTTTGAGATCATTTTCTTTCTTGAAGATACATACTCTGGGGAATGTTTCAGTTTTTGCTGTGTCTGAACAGAATGCAAGTCAGGATATCATACTATGAGCCTCAGATGAAAAGTCAGGAAACCTGGACTGAAACTGCCTGTCTTTTGTGGGATACAGAGCAAATCTTTGAGCCTTAGTTTCATTATTTGTAAAGTGGGAATCCTGTCTACATCTTGGAGGGATTGAGAGGGCTGAGCCATGGGATGTATCCGTGTCATAGAGCAGGGCTCAAGGGAAGTCCTGGTTATTATTTGCTCATATTCATTGCTTTGCAGGATTGTCACTGGCCCTGAACTTGCAGACCTCTTGAACTCCATTCAAGTATTTCAAAGAACTGAGCATTGGAAGGCAGTGAAAGACAGGCCAAAAGGTGGCTTTCAAAAGTTCCTTGTAAGACTCGCTAAGAGTAGTTAACATCCCAGGCATTGCTCAAATACTCCTCCCAAAACCTCACCTCATATCCACCAGGGAAAGGTTTCCAGAGCAAAAGTCACCAACTGAAGAAGCAGTCTATTCCTTCTGTGGCCAGCTCTGCCTGAGAACAGGTGCTCTCTCCTTTGTGGGTAAGAACTCCACTTGCTGAGGCCCAGAAGTGAGGTCAAAGGGTGGGCTTGGAACTATCCATTTGCTTTACTCTTCGATCGCTTAATTTAAGTTGGGAGCTACCTGGTTTTGCCTTTATTAAAATATCTCACTCATGAACTTCCTCTCTGTGGAGTGGCTTTTGGAGTAATAGACTCCTGTCTTACAAAGCAAGAGTTCTTGTGTGACTCTCTTGGCCATTCATAGCTCAGTATAGAGTCCTTACCTTGACGTCTGCAGCACAGGAGGCAGGACTGCCTTCTCTGAGAGGTAACCTGGGGACAGGCAAACCTGGATAGGGTGAGGGAGGTACAGTAGTGGGGGGACCAGTTGAGGCCATCTGGGAAGAAGGGCTCCCAAAGCTGGAGGTTGGAGAAGTGTTCAGAAAAGGATTAAGAGGGCAGTGGAGAAGGTGGTTACAGTTAGTTGACAGTTTGGCAGAGGAGCTGCTGAAAATCATCTCCTACTCAGCCTTGCCCACTTGTGGGAATCGTTAAGAAATCGAGTCCGGGGTGCTGGATGGCTTGGTCAGTTAAGTGTGCAACTCTGGGTTTCAGCTCAGGTCATGATCACGGTTCATGAGCTAGAGCCCCATGTCAGGCTCTGCACTGACAGTTTGGAGCCTGCTTGGGATTCTATAGGTCTCCCTCTCTTTGCCTCTCTTTCTCTCAAAATAAACAAACTTTAAAGAAATCACCCAGTCTGGAATGCTACATAGATCCTTGTGTTCTTATTGAACCTTAGTTATGTACCTTCTGGGAGGAAAGGGGACGGAAAGGAATGACCATGGAGGACCAGGTTCCACAATCCCTGCCACTCCTTTTATTTATATGTTACAGCCACATTTTCCTATTTCCCTGCTTGTGGGGCCCCTAGATAAAACTAAATCTGCATGTTTTATCTCCCGCTAGATGGTGGATGCCTTCAGGGTAAGACTGGGACTGATTTATTCATGTCTCTGGAGCCTCACAGAGTGCCTGGAATACAGCAGGTGCACAAAAACGCCTGTTGAGTTTAAATGGCCAGTAAGTCACCTGAGTAGTTTAAACTTGGAAACTTGAATCATTTAATCTATTAGTTCTCAAACTTGGATGTGCATTAGATTTATCCTGCGAACTTTAAAAAAATATATTAGTGCCCTAGTCCCTAATTCCAACCAATTAAATCAGAATCTTGATGGTGAGATTTTCATAGTTTAAATGCCCAGAAAGAGCTCAGTACCTGAAGGCATGATACAGTAAATCCTTTTATAAAACTGAGAATCACTTTCTAATGCACAATAATTACCCATTGCATTATATTTGAGTTATCTTCTAATGGAAGATCTTAAAGTTGAGTCTGTATGTACAAAATATATAGAACTTGACATTTTTAAAAAAAGGAACTAGGAAACATATAAGGGGAAAAGGTAATTTTCACTGGATATTCAGAGACTTGCCCATTCACAGTATGGCAAAAGATTCAGCATAACGTCATAATGCTTGAACTGAATTTCATTAAAAAATTTTTTTGTATTTGATGGGGGGAGAGAGGGAGAGAGCAAGTGCACCTGTGTGTGCATGTGTGAAAGAATCGTAAGCAGGCTCTACACTCAATGTGGACCCCAATTCAGGGCTCAGTCCCACAACCCTAGGATCATGACCTGAGCCAATGTCAAGAGTCAGACACTCAACTGACTGAGCCACCCAGGTGCCCCTGGATTTCATTTTTTAAAAAAAGAAGACAAGTAAGTCAAAGGGATGGAATAGAGTGAGAGAAAGAAGGCCCCACCCTTCAATAAGAGTCTTTGTGTGACCTATTGGGGCAGATGCTGGCCACAGACACCTTCTTTTGAAATCTGTGTATATTTGAATGTCCTTATGTTTAAATGGGGTAGAAGGGATACAAACCTAAGTGTGAGTTTTAGTTATATTAAGGTGTCTGTTAAGAGGAACTTGTATGGCCAGCACCTTGCCTGCACAGACCCAACTGCAGGAAGATGGCAGAGAGGATCTCCTGATCTCAGCACTTCAGGACTTGAGTAGGGTAGGGACAGGCGGTACCTTGATACCTGTTTCTCTAGGCATGGTTCTGAACCAGCAGCATGGACTTCATCTGCTTGTTCCCTAGAACTACTGATCTGAATCTGAATCCTAACAAGATTCCCGGGTGATTGATTTACAAACACATGAAAGGTTAAGAAACACTGCCTTGAAGTGTGTTGCACTCAGCTCCTTCTGAAGCTTGCCCTTGGCCTCACATGGAGAGGCTTGATCTTTTCTTATTCACCCCGGTAGCTAGTATGTAACTCTTCCAATATTTGAACAACCTTTCTGAGCCCTCCTGATTTTTTTCTCTTTATAGGGAAAGCAAAAAAGAAATGAAATAGCTGTCATCACTGATCTGAGGCCCAGAGGGAGAGAGGAGGAGATCAAACGTCAACATCTGTGATTCTGCAAATAGAAAATGAAATGTTTCCCAGGCGGGCTAGGAAGTAGCTCTCGGGTGCCTGGCTGGTGCTCTGTGGTCCCATCTGAGGTGTCTAGGCTCCATCCAGAGCCTTTAAAGGGAACCCCGGGGCTGCCCATTGTGGGGCAGTGGGAATGTTTAGCCAAACTCCTAGGGAAGCTTGAGGCAGATCTGCCAAGGCCCAGGCACCAGCAGGTGGGTCACCAGCAGCTCTTCTGCTCACTGGAGAACTTCAAGAAGGAGTAGGGTGAAATACTCCCTGATATAGGATACTCTGTACAAGTAATAGTCCACTTACCTCCTCTCCTCATCCCCAGCTCTGAGCCAGTGCTTGTCCTTCCTCTGTCTGGGTACCAGGTCTATCTAAAAAGTGAAGCAGAGTCTCAGGCCTTCTTTCTGTTTTTCTGGAGTTCTTGTCAAGTTGTTTCTCTGAAAGAAAAGCCATAGTGTTATGGAATAACAGATCAGCCAGCATTCTGGGCTGGGGACAAACACAGTGGCAGAGGAGTTAGGGAATTAGTTCCAGAGACTTGGTCTCTCAGAAGTCTCTGTGATCCATACCTTGATGGGCATCCCCATCAGGGCTCCCCCACACTCGCCCAGTGTGTCCCCTCCTTTTCATCTTTGACAGTCAGGCTGATCCGTTCTATCAGACAAAGTGCCATGTACTTGTTCTCCTTTCCCAGCACACGTGGCCTGCATTTCTGCAAGGCCCACCTTCACAGAGCCAGGGACCTCCAAACAGGCTCACCTTGGCTCAGATGCAGTTTCCTTTTCCGTGCTCTGGATTCTGGCCAAGAGCAAGCCTCAGAGGCACTGGCCTCAGGGACATCAATTCCTCCCAGAGATCTCCTGTGGGGAAGGTATTGGGAGGCCAGCTCTAGAACAGTCACTGTGCTGGGCCACGAGGTGTTCTCTCCACCCCGGATCTCCTCTCCAAGAAGGTAGACTGGGAGCAATTCAACACTGAGGGGCTGGGCTGGGCACTCATTGCTGCCTGGGTTTGTGCCTTAAATATTTAAGAAGCAGAGCTGGGTATTACTGAGCAACTATTCATTTCTGACGCAGTACCAGCCAAACAAGCAAACTGAGTGCATTCCTTGCTTGAGGGCTGAAAGTGGGGGGAAAATTTGCTTGCTTGCTTTCGATATTTTTTTCTAGATGTTTTTTGGGGGGATAAAACTTTAAATGTTGGTGCTCCTCAACCAGTAATTCCACCTTCCTGAGGACATATTCAAGGATATGAACAAAGGGCTCCATAGATGCTCATGACATTACCACTTAAGATAGCATAATGTTCAACAAAGTAGCATAAATGTTCCATGAAAATGTCATAAATGTTCAACACCAAGGAAATAGCTAACTCAATTATTACATAGCTTTATGGTAGACAATGATACCCATTAAAAGTAATATTTTCCAAGAATTTTAATGACTGAGAATATACAAGAATCATGTTTATAGAGAAAAGTGGGATTCAGAAATGTATAAAAATGAATTATAATTGTGAAACTATATGTAATATAGATGTGTATATATAATATGTAATAGAAAAAAAGACCAAACCCTAAATATTAATAGTAGTATCTGTGGATTATTTAAGTATGGTCTTATTTGGTTACTTGTCTCCTTATTTAGTCTTTTCACGTTTCTTGTCAGGATTCAAAAATGTATTCTAGAGGTGGGAAATTTGTATAAAGGGCCCTCCTTATTCCCTGTGCAATCAGTTCCCACTGTATGGACTGTCTGGGGCCTGGCTCACCTTCTCTGTGTGGGGTGGCAGCTGAGTCCACTGCCTTCTTCCTTCCACGAAACAGTCTTTTTTTTTTTTCAATTTTTTTTTAACATTTATTTATTTTTGAAACAGGGAGAGACAGAGCACGAGCTGGGGAGGGGCAGAGAGAGAGGGAGACACAGAATCTGAAGCAGGCTCCAGGCTCTGAGCTGTCAGCAGAGAGCCTGACGCGGGGCTCGAACCCACAAACTGTGAGATCATGACCTGAGCCGAAGTCGGATGCTTAACTGACTGAGCCACTCAGGCACCCCCACGAAACAGTCTTCTGCTTCACCAAATCTGAGCCAGCTGTGTGTGCGGCTCTGCAGGCCACCAGCCAATCCTGCATGTCAC